TCCCCGGAATGGTTACTGGGCTGTCTGTGAGCAGCTCCCTCCTAGTGTCTGGCCTTCTCGGCACTGTCCAGGCCTCCCTCACCCTCTGCAGGTTCATGGAGTTTGAGGCCGAAGAGGAGATGCAAATTCAGAACACACAGCTGACGAATGGGTCCCAGTGCCTGCCTCCCGCAGCCCCCCTGAAACTCGACCCTCCAGGGCTCCTTGCCCCTGAGGTTAGCCAGCAACCAGGTAAGACTACCTCATTCCAACCGGAGCCTGGGGCCCAAGGCTCAAAGGGAGGTGTACGCAAGGCAGTCATGCACTAGGGAAGGCATTGGCCCTGCTTCTGTCACTATCCCTCTGGGGGGTGGCAGTGATGTTCTGAGCCGGACATACATAGGAGGCTGGCTTCCCAGGTTCCCTTTGTCCCAAACTGATCTTGGCCAGGTAAACCGACTACTCTCTAACAGGCTGTACAGGAGGGCATAATACCTCATCTGCCTAAGAAATGGGGGCTGGATCAGAGGACTGCTTGGAATTTCAGGGGTTTCCAGATGCCTCATGCAGGCACTGTCTTGGACCCTCCAGCTCCACAATCTGCTCCCACGGCTGGTCCCGTTTCAGGCCTGATCCAGCCTGTCATCCTTCCAGCGTACCCGGATTGCTGCCCTGACCAACCCAGGGTTGGGAGGCAGAAGCCACAGTCCCTGTGCCACCCGCCATTCCTCCTTTGCGTCTCTTCCCTTAGCGTACATTCCCAAAAAGGCGGCTTCCAAGTCACGGGCCCCCCGCCGGCGGCAGCGCAAAACACAGAGGCCTCCGGTTCCTGAGGCCCCCAAGGAGATCCCCCCGGAAGCTGTGAAGGAGTATGCTGACATCATGGACGGGCTGGTGGGGAGTCAGTTGGCCATCGGGGCGGCAGATGGAAAACAGGAAGAGGAAGAACAGCAGCAGCGGGAGGAGGAAGGGATGTATCCAGATCCAGGCCTCCTAAGCTACATCGATGAGCTTTGTTCTCAGGAGATCTTTGTCTCCAAGGTGGGCTGGACCTGGGTGTCTGTCTGGTTTCTAGCAGATCCTGGGTTCGAAACTCCAGGGGACTAACGACCTAGGGTTTTTCCCGAGGCAGTTAGGAACTAGGCTGTCTTCCTACTGAGAAATGTGTGTGCATGCATGGACACATGTGAATGTGTACAGCTGGTGGTGGTCATGGTTAATAACAACCCCGGGGAAGGGCTGGGGGAGGGGGACACATGGCTTCTTCTCTAGAGCCTCTTGATTCCCAGGTTACTTCCTGGTAGGGACTCCGATCACCATTTTCTTCTGTTCCCCAGGTGGAGGCCGTCATTCATCCTCGGTTTCTGGCAGATCTGCTGTCCCCAGAACAGCAGAGGGACCCACTGGCCTTAACTGAGGAGCTGGAGCAAGAGGAAGGACTCAGTCTTGCCCAGGTAAACCTGGGAGGTAGGAAATGTCAGAATAAGCAGCTTTGCGTGATTTTACCTAACCTTACGCTGTCTTGGTTGGTATGACTTCTGGAGACAGACAGCTTGAGGATTGGGATTCCGGTGCAGAACAAGTAGGCAAGAGACTGTGGAAACACAGGAAAAGGGGAGCAAGCATAAGGGGTCACAGCATGGGAATAAGACCCAAGAAGGCGGAAGAGAAGAGCTATGGTATCTGTTTCTGATACCGTGACTTAGGCCGCTTACTTGCATTCCCTGCCCTGTCCAAGTACTATCTCCTCACCACCCCCTCAGCCACCCCTTCTCACGGCCATGTATCGGACAATGTTTGTCCACTCTCCTTCCAGCTGGTCCAGAAGAGACTCCTGGCCTTGGAAGAGGAGGATGCAGAGGCCCCTCCTAGTTGCAGTGGAGCTCAATCAGACTCCAGTCCTTCTGTTTCTGAGGAGGATGAAGATGGGGGTGGGCGGCTTCGGCCCTCACCTGGGCCGCGGGTGGCTGGGGGCACCGTTCGCCTTGGAAAGGCTACTTCTCCAGGAAAACGGGTGAGAGAAGAGCATGGTGGGCAGGAGCGGGCCCTAGATGGCCCGAGGGGTGTGCGCAGAGACAGGGACACCGTGCCGTCCCCCAGCAGCTGGGACCTGCAGCTAGAACCTACAGCTCCACAGGGAACTCGAGGGTCCTTAAATACAGAGGAAAGAGGGGCCGGGAAGACAGCAAATCAAATATCCCCACCTCAGGACGACCACCTGGGAGGGGCTAGGTCTCCCGGGCACCCCCTGGTGGCTGACAGAACTCCTGAGACTCTGCCCCTTTGTTGGCAGGAAGGCCCCCAGCCTGAGATAGTTCCCCGTTTGGATGTGGGACTCGAAGAGCTGGCTCCCCTGCAAGGACAGGGGTTAGAAAAGCGGGTCCTGGGGTTGCAGACAGGCCAGCAGCTGGGGGGTCTTGGAGAGCTTCCTCAAGGGACTGAGCCACTAGCAGTGCTCCAGGAAGGCTCTTCGGGAGCCATGTGGGGAGATGACAAAGGTCCTCCCGTGGTTCAGGGTTATGATCAGAACCTGTCCCCTAGAGCAGCTGGTGACAGGGAGGGGGACGGAGCCTCTCTCAGTCCAGGACTTTGGCTGAGCAGTGAGCTGGATGCTGTGGCCTTGGAGTTGCCCTTACAAATTGAGGAGGTCATAGAGAACTTCCACGATGCGGAATGTGTCACTGAGCATCGGGGAGGCTGGCAGGTACTGGGCTCCAGAAGCAACGTTCCTCTGGGTCCTGGAGAGACCGCAGCGCCTGGGGATGGGGGGCGCAGTGCCATTCCCTGCGGAGGCACAGAGGGCACGGCCGCCCTGCAGGAGGCGGACCACTGCAGCCCTCCGGGACCTCTGAGGGCCAGCGGCCCATTCGTGAGGCCTGAGGAAACTGGAGAACAGAGCCCTGAGGCTACAGGGGATCCCAGCCATCTGTGGGCTGAAGGTTGCCCCTCTTTGCTGGAAAGTGGTATCCGCGTGCCCACACCGGGGGTTCCCAAAGAAACCCTTCAGCCTGCCTGTCAAGGCAATATCCCTGTGCTGGGGACCCAGGGTATGTCCCCCTTCCCTCAGGCCAGCCTGGAGGTGGGAAGCAGAGGCCATTCTGTCTCTCCTCTGTTGGAAACCACAGAACATGTCACCATACTAGATATTGGAGATGCCTGTGGCCTCCAGCTAGCGGTCTGTGAGGATACCCACCCACCAAATTTTAACTCCTATGACCCCCAAGGAGAGGGCAGGGAGGATACTGATTTATCCAAGCCTGAAGACCTTGCTCCCTTACCAGGGAATCAAGAGCCTTACGCACATGGGACCCCCAAATCAACATCTCCTCGCCAGGGCCTTGGAAGCACTTCCTCTAGAAGAGGGGCCAGGGATGCCTTAGTTCTGACAGAAAGCTCTCCTGTCAGTAAAACATGCAGCTCAACGGACGGGGCCAAAGGGAAGGAGGAGGAACGGGAGGGGGAGGAGGGGGAGGATGAGGAACTCTCCAGCTTTGCCTACCTCTTGGCCTCAAAACTTAGCCTGTCGCCACCAAGGGGGCCTCCCTTCAGTCTTCACCCTGCCTCAGGCCTGCCCTCGACAGGAGGGCAGGGGGTCCAGAGAGCATCCCACTCCCTCTCTGCTGAGGCGAGAGGCCTTGGCCAGTCTCCACATCCTGTTGCCAAGTCTGGGAAGAGAACTCTCAGTGGAGGTCTATCTCCTGCCGAAAAGAGGCCCTACCAGGGAGCTGACCTTGGCATCTCTGGGGAGAAACCCCTGGCTCTGGGAGTGGTTCGAGCCTCACAGCCTCGTAAAAGGCGGCGTGACACTTTTGTCACTGGCCGAAGGAAGAAACGTCGGCGTAGTCAGTAGGGGACAGCAGGACCCTCCTACCCCACCTGCTGACCCTAAATGTGGGGGCCCCCAGGGTAGATTTCATCCCAGCTGCACACCAGCAGAGACTGGTTCTCAACCCCATGTTATTTTGTTGTTCTGCAAAAGTAGTGACTGTGGGGAGGTCACACTGGCTAGGCTGGAGGCGGTCCCCTTGGTGGGAGGTGGAGGAGTACCTTTGGAAGTTGTATGGTGCAAAGAAAAATAAAGATTTTCTGGTTGTTGGAAAATGCTTGCAATGTGCCCTTTCGTATTCATGTCTTCACTGCTAGATGGGGTGAGGTGCTGAAAAAGAGGTGGAGGGGGCTCCAGATTCCCTGGATCTAAATACCACTCCATTCTCCAGCCTTATCCATGCTCCCTGATGAGCTCCTGTCCTGAGAAGCCCCCAGTGATCCCTTTATCCCTCTCCGTCAGGAAAAGCCTAGACTTGATGCTGGGGAGTGCTTCTCGGGACAGGCCACATTATGTCTCCCTTTGAAAGTCTGTAAGATGGAAAGATGCCTTTTTTTTTTTAACCTGTCAGATCTCTGGGTTAGAGATCTAATTTCCTAAATCTAATTAGTTTTCCATAACTCTGTCTAGACAGCACCTTTTTGGGGGGGGGGGCTTGTTTTCTTTCCCCCTTCCTTGAAGAGGCTGGACAGAAAGGACTTAAATGTCCTCCACTCATCCATCCCCTGGCAAAAGAACACCCTCCTGAGGCTGGTCTGAGCTGCAGGGCAGACTCTTGGCAGCTGCGGACACAGCTCTCTGCTCCCACCATGAGGGGGAATCATTCTCAGTGGAATTATTAAATATAAAATGGTAGTTAGCTATTTTTTAATCTCTAATGAGGACAGAACAGGAGGGAATAGGCTGAAAAGGTTCATGAGGAAGCCTGTTAAAATGTGCATAGGTGTGTGTGTGTGTGCGTGCACGTGCATATATAGGGTTATGACAACAGAAGGGGAGGCTTTGACATCGGCATGATTTCTGTGCAGGAAAGAGTCCCATCTAGTCCAGCTGGAAGTGAGGATTCACCCAGCAGTGGCCAAGAGGACTGACTCTGGGAACCTCCGGGATCGTCCAATGGGCAGCCTGCAACCATTAATCCCTTTGGGTCCCACCTGATACTATCAATGTAACAGCCTTATTTTTTTTAAATAGATATATATTTAGATTTATATATAAAATAGTTTTTTACAAAAAAAAAATACCCAAACAAACAAAAAACGAAAATCAACTTAAAAAAAAACAAAACAAAACACAACAACAATAACAAAAAAATCAAGCAGGAGCAGAAACGGGCTTGAGGCACGGGGTAGGCCGGAGGTGAGCTGGGGACGTCGAGGTGCTCAGTCGCCCTTCTGCTTGGGCGCTGGCACAGTCCCATTGGCCAGAGCCATGGGGCTGCCGGGGACGGAGGCCTGTGGTTTCGGGGAGGGGCGCAGGTAGGTGTTGAAGAGCTTCCCGTGGAGCGGGTCGTGGAGGGAGAAGGCCTGGAACTGACCTGGACAGGCAAGAGTGAGAAGGCAAAAGGCCAGAGGATCTAAGGAGGAGGGGAAGAGGGCGGCCCTGTTCTTTTTCAGAATTGGTTATGTCCTGTCCCTCTCATCCCTGTTGCACTTCTCAAATCCAAGCTTCCGTCCTCACCTCTCAGAGGATGAACCCTGCCCCCCCCCGCCCCGCTCCCCAGCCCTTGTCCCCTCCCAGCCCAGTGCTGATGGTGGCCCAAGCCCTCTTGGCAGAGAAGGCAGTGACTCACAGAGGGAGAGGCCTTGGTGGGGTCCCGCCTGGCACAGCTCAGCATGCAAAGTCGCAGCAGCAGGGCGGGGTGAGCCCAGCAGTAGGTGCAGGATGGTGCTGAAGCCATGTCTGTACAGCAGGCGGCCAGGCCCCTCTGCTTGCTCCTCGGCAAAGAGCTGGCACAGAAAGGGACGCAAGTCAAGCCCTGTCTTCCTGCCATGGCCCCATACCGCCCTGCAGGTCTGCCTGACGGGTTCCTCCTCTTCCGAGAGTGCGGAGTACAGGCCCTCCCTGACTCCCTGCCACCCCACTCAGCCCTTTGTGCAGAACTAAAAACTCACAGCTGCTGCCCTTGCCCTGTTCTCAGGCAGGTCTCAACACTGGGGCACTGGGGTGGATACTGAGCACCTACTATCTAGAAGCTACTGGGAGCAGCACCCCACAGAAGCCTCTGGGTGGGGTAGGCATGGCCACCACATGTCCCCCCCACCTCTCTGATACCTCAAAGGCCAGGCGGGTCAGCTCGTCCAGGCTCCTGCCCCCATCCAGAGCTGCCAGGGCCAAGGCCACATCTCGAAAGTCCACCAAACCTTGGGCATCCTGGAGGGAGAAACCAGGGTTTGGCTCCTCCCTCTTCTCAGCAGGCACAGGGATGACCCTTGTGTCTGCTTCCCTCAGAGCTGTGAGCTCTAAACTTTCCAGGATTCCCAGGATTTCGCTCAGGTCATGGGTTCGCTCAAGCTCTCTCCATGTCACCTGGTGACGAAGCTCTCCTGAAAGGGATCTCCTGTTAATGTTAGGGAATCCCTCAGGAATGCTGAAGTTACCATCAAATTTCTGATATGCCCCAAGCTGGAAAAACTGGTTCTCAGCTGACTCAGCCTATGCTGGAGAACTGGTCCAACAGACTAAAAAGGGCCCACTGGCGTAATTTCTTACCAAAAAAACCCCAAGGAGGATGCCTGCCCTGGTGAAACCATGCTATTCCAGTTTTGGTTCTGCTCTGCTATAGGCTAAGTGGAGAAGCTCCTTTCAGACACAGTCGGCCCCAATCTAAGGAATCAACACTCTCTGTCCCTTTAGAGGATGTTGAGAGCCATGATGTTAAGTATCTTAAACCAAGAAAAGCTCTCTGGGGCCAGTGGTGGTTGTTTGCGAACATTAAGAATCTTCTGGGATTATTATAATTCAACAGGAAAACTTGGTTAAGTTCCAGGAAATCTATGGAGTGCCAAAATTCTTAAGATAGTTCAGGAATCCCCTAGAGAAGCTATGGTTTATTTTTAAAAAGTACTGCAAAGATCTCTGAGTCTCAAACCCGTCTAACCCGTCCCATGTTCTCTGTATGTCATCTTCCCACCACTCGGAGGTGCCCCACAAGGTTATACGGTCCCCCCATCTTTGCTAATCTCTAAAGTGGCTTCGGAAACTTATGGACCTCACTGATCAATTATTTCTCCATTGTTCCTTCCCACAACAATGATAACATTGCTCTTCAGTGCACTGGATACTCTATAAAAAAAGAATCCCCCAGCGGATCTCAGGAGATGACCATCCAACAATGGCTGTTAGAACATCCAGGGCAGGTTCCAAACTGGCCACCCATGTGGCCAATTGGATAGTATCCTTAAAGCCTGAGCACATCAGCCTGGAGAGCAGGGCCTGGGTTCTGACCTATGAGTCCCAGCTCCTTTACCTGCTGGAAGTAGCTGAAGGCTCCAGCCACCGTCTGGGGGTCAGAGAGCTGTAGCTGCCTGGCAAACTCTTCCTGGCTGATCATTCGACTCCGGCCTGGCTCTGCCCCAGTGTCCACACGGCCAGGGGACAGCCTACAATGGAATTGTTGAAGGCAGGGAGTTTACTCAGCTTCTTCCTGGGCCTTGGCCCCAGCCCCAAGAGTCCCCCCAGCACAGGTATATCTGGTGTTTTTCTAAGATGGACTCTAACTCACAGTCCTTTGAGAGCCATTCCTCCTTTTCTCACTGGGCTTATTATATATCTTTCCCTTTCTTTTTACCTCCTTCCTTTTACTCCATTATCTTAAAAAAAAAATCCTCTACCTTCCCACTTATTTCTTTTTTAAGACTTTCCTTCCTTCTTCCCATTTCTCTTTTTTTTCTATCCGTGACACTGCCCATACCGTTACATTCAAGGTCACCTACCCAGCCTTCCGAAGCACCTTTCCCAGTTCCCAGAGCTGCGGCTCCAGTGAGACCTTCAGCCGGCCCACCACGATCACGGGCAAGCTCCCCACAAACTCACACTCAGTGGCTGGAATGCCCAGGGCCCTACAGGATGAAGAGCGATGGAACGGAGTGGGGGAACAAGGAAGAAGAGTCCTCTGAGGGCTCATTACCGAGTCGGCTGCTGAACAGGGAGGAGATCAGGCCCCTTTAACCACCCCCCGTCTCAGCTGTGCAGAGCCCATCCCACTGCCCACTCCCCCATCTTTGCCTTGGAACCTCAGCCCTCCACCCACTGCTGTGCTTCCTATGTCCTGTGTATCTGCTCCAGGAAATATTTTGTGGGATACTCACTGTGCCATTACCCTCTGGACATTGTTGGCATAGAGGGTGGGGTTCCTGCTCTCCTCCGGGCTGGGGTGGTACACAGGGAGGAACTGAAACAAACACACACACCTCATCAGGACCTCAAGCTATGGGTGAGCACTCCCACCCTCTTTTCCCTTCAGGGATCAGCTAATGCCCATTCCCCTCCCCACCCACAGTGGCGTTGGGGAGGTGGGGGAGGTGTCATACCTCCACATCCACGATGCTGCAGGGCTGAGAGGCTGTGAGCCAGAGGACTTTCAGTCTAAGAGAAGAGAGACCTCAGATGCTCACCAATCCCTAAGTATGGGGCCCCCCACCCTGAGGAGGGGAGTGGGAGAGTTCTGCCCATTCACATAAAAAGGGACCCCTAACCACACAGTGAGCTGGGTAAAATATGCAGTTGGGAGACAGAGGGAAGGGCCCGAAGCTGGTAGGGAAAGTGAGAACATGGCAGGGACAGGCATGAGGAGGAACTGCCAGAGAAGAGGTATGAGTAACCGCAGACAAGGGGAGGCAACCGTGCTGGCTCTCAAGGGAGGACTGAGGGAGATCGCTCAGAAACACTGGACGCTGAGTTCAAAGGAGCTATAGTCACAGCAGGAATGATGAGGTGGGATGGCTGAAAGCACTTCCAGATTACATCGGGAAATGAGAACAAAACAGGGAAACAGGCACCCTCTTCTCTAGAGTTCTCTCAATCTGACAGTGAAGAAGGTCCATTTGCCTTGTCTGGAGATTGGAAGATGGGCCAGGAAATCTCTGATGGGCCCTGCCCCCCACCCTCACCCCAGGAACACCAAGACTCACACTCCAGGGCCCCTCCATGCCCAGCTGGTGGTGTCCTAGAGGAGAAGCAGAGGTGAGGGGAGAAAGGCATTACTCTCTTTCCCTGGAGCTTGGCCAATCCTCTTTGGGCAGAGGCCCTGACCCCACCCCCGCCCCATGTGCACATCCCACGGCGACACTAGAAGTTTTCACTGATTTAGGGTGGATTTGGGCTCCCCCACCTCCTCTCTTGGACTCAGACTCACCAGACTGTTGGGGTATCGGATGAGGACAGGTTGCACAGGAACCCCGGCAATGAAGGCTCCTGAATCCCATTTCCACCCCCCACCCCCCACCCCCCAGGCAGAGGTTAGTTCATGGAGGTAGCTAGAAGGCACCAAGTGTCAGGGTCTGGGACAGTTCTGAAATGATATCTGGCCTGGCTCCATTTCATTTGTAATTTTCTTTCTGACTCCTAGAGACTTTTCAGTGTCAGCTAGGAAGTTCCCTGTCTCTCTTCCCCAGGATCCCCACTCCACTTCTTGGGTTATTCCAGAGTCCCCCTCCAAATCTGGGGCTCCTTTTTCCTTCAGCCCTACCACCCACTATCATTTTATTCACCTGGTTTGAATTTAAGCAAAGCCTTCTTGTTGGAACAGGTGCCCTCAGGAAAGAATAGTACCTGGGGGGAAAAAAACCCCGAGGGACCAGAATGAGGTGGGGTTGCCTGAAGGGAAGAGAGGAAAGAGAAGCCTCTTTGGGAGCACATAAAAGGTGAGATCTTGCGACCCTTACCCACCTGGGGCCACTTGCCTCCTGAGGTAGCCCGCCTTCGGACCTCCTCCACCACTCTGCGCCGAGAAGCCGGGTCATGCCGGGATACTAGGATGGCTTGGTTGAAGCGAAGAAGGGCTGGGGTACAGAGAGGATACAAGGAGTCACTTGGTTCCTACCCAGAGGCATTAATACCTGCAGCCTCCCCTTCCTCAACAGTAGGAGATACTTCGCAGTGATCTCTCTGCCCTGAGGACCCTCCTTTTATTGTGTGTTGGTCCTTTTAGGCAAGTGATCAGAGGTCCTTCCAACACCTCTAAGCACCAGCCCTCAGAATCTAAGGGGTTGGTTCACAAACAGTATCCATTTGCATCTCATTTGCCAGCAACCGCTGATTTCCCTTCTAACCTCTCCCTTCCCCCTTGAGGCCAGTTCTTTCCAGAGCATCCCTGATTCCTGCCTTTTTTGCTCAGTTGTCATCTCTCCCCTTCACCCGTTTTATGCTCTCTCACCTCCAATGACAGGCACGGAAAGGTTCTCAGCTCGGGACACAACCTTGGGCAGGTCACAGGGCAGCAGAACAATGGGGTCAAAGAAAGTAGAGTGGGGAGCGGCAACAAGGACAGGGGCTTGAAGGCGAGAGGCCCGCTGTCCCCGAACGCGAATTCGAAGAAAACCCAGCAGGAAAAAGAGCAGGCGGCTGAGGCCCAGCACCCCGTTGTGGCACACAGTCCTGCAGGACAAGGCTGGGCATCAGCAGAGGCGGTGATTCCGTCCCTCACTCACCCCCCCAGGCTTAGGCACCCAGAAAAGCGCTGCCTTTCTCTTGTCCTCTATTCCTCTGCCAAGGGGCTGAAGTCTGCCTGCTTTGGGACATATCAGGGTGCATCACTTCGAGCTAAGGTCCTGGGTACCAGGTCTGAGCCTGGCTGACTCATCTCACCTACCTAGGCTGGGTAGCAGAGCTTCAGAACCCTCCCTCCGTTTCTTCTCAAAGAGGGAGCAGAATGGGTAATAGGGAAGAGAAGTGAGAAGTAGGGTCTCTGGGGGCTGATCCCCCACTTACTTCCTCCATCCTGTAATTGGCTCCTGAAGCTGCTCCTCCGTAAGACCAGCTACTTGCAGCCAGGCAAAGGGCCAGAGGAGAAAGAGGACAATAAAGGCCAGAAGCACTCGGATGGGGGCCAACAGTGCCCCCAGGAGGCAGAACTGCAGAGGGTGGGAGAAAATACCACTTCAGGATTGGGAGACACTCTCCATTGCTTCCCTTCTCCCACAAGGATGAAGCAGAGAGCCATCACCCCCTGTGGATCAGGAGACAGGTGGTGTAGGAACAGAAGATGGGGCGGGAATCCAAGGGGAGAGGATAAAGGATTAATAGGATCAGGGGCCTCATTATTAGGATCGGACCTGATTTTTTTAATCATAAAACGCATCTATCACTTGGTGAGGCTGTTAAGAGCTTTTAATGATAACCCCTGTGGAGGCGCCCAGCACAGTGCTTGATGGGAGAGTAGGCAGGAGATAGTCCCTCCCCCACCTCGCATTCCATAAATAGCTCCTATGTCCAAGAGGAACCAGGTGCATAGTTCTTTCTACTTTGGCCCTGGGAGGTGGTAGAGTTGGAACACACAGAGGTCCACTTTTTAGGCCCAGGCCAGTCTAGTTCCACTCAACAGCACTCCCCTAGGCCTGCGGGGTGGGGTGGGGGAGAAGAGCGCGGCCCTACTCCGCAGGGTAGGGATTGCCAGGAGCCAGGTTGACTGCTAGGGATGCCCTGGGGAGAGTGCAGGTAAACAAACTGAGCCCCACGAGCCAGCCTCAGGGGCGGTGAGGGTGGCAGAAACCTTGGACACTCCCTTCCCCAGTTCCCCTAGGCTAGTGCGGCTCTCCACTTCCTGTAGCCAGCCCCCTTCTCAGCCTCCCTACCCCCACCAGGAGGTGCTGCAGTGCGGGGAGGGGGGTGGAGCGGAAAGAGGGGGGGTGTTGGGTCGGCAAAGGGGCGCAGGCTATGGGTCTAGAGACGTCTTCCCTCTAATTCAGAGCCTCGAAGAAGCACTCAGCACGCCCCTGCCCCCACCCCCGGCTTTCCGTAGCCTCCACCTCCATCCTAGTTCATCGGTCTCCGCAGGATGTAAACCGCATTTCCCAGTATCTTCCATCTCCCCTACCCCTGCGTCTCCTGCAGTCCTCTATCCTCATCTAGTCAATTCTTCCACACCTTAGAGCTATCCATCGCCCAAGCCCGGGCCCTCTCCAAGGACTTCTCGCCCACCCCTGTCGCCCCCACGTGCGCTCCCCCGGACACCCTCCCCGCAAGCCTCTCGCCCACCTCTTTTCCGGATAGGCATCCCCATCTTTGCCTGGGCTCTAAACGGCCTCCTTTTCCTACCCCCACGAGTCCTCCCGACGCCCCCCGCTCACACTTTACCTTAACCCTCTGGAGGCGGGAGAGATGTAACTCATGCACGAAGGGGTTGGGGGGCGCTGGGGGCCCGGGGGTGGGGTCGAGGGGGGCCCAGTGCCCCGGACTTCCCTGGCTCATAGCGGCGGAAGAAGGTGGGCGCGAGGGTGCCCCGGCCCCGACCCCGGGCCCCGCTCTGCAAAGCAGCGGCTGCGGCTGCAGCGCTCCGGCCGGGGCCCCGCCTGGTGCCGGGCGCCGAGGGGCGGGGAGCAGGCGGCGCGGCCCGGCCCGCGTTGTCAGGGAGCCGGCCGAGGGGCGGGGCTTCCAGCGCCCGGGCGCCCCTGCACCTCCGCGCCCGTCGCGCCCGCCGTGCCCGCCGTGCCCGCCGCTGCCCCTCCGGCCATTGTGCGGCGGCGGCCGGATGCCGGGGCGTGCTGACCCCGGGCCTGGCCCTCCGGGCGTTCCTTTCGGAACAGCGGGCCGCCGCCTCCCCGCAGGCCTCCGGCTCGGAGCGGGCTTGGGGCCGCGAGGTGGGCGTGGAGCTGAGAGCGTCCTTCGACCCCGCCCGGGCGTCGAGGTCACCCTGCGAGCGCAGATCGGGGCCCTCGGGCGGCTGGGAATGGAGGAGCCGTGCGCGGTGCGCCGAGGCCCGCAACTCGGGGGCGAGTGGGGCCCCGCTCTCCCCGCGTGCTCGCGGGCCCCAGCCACCCCTCCTCGCAGGCCGACCACCTTCCCTTCCTGGTCGCGGCGACGCCATCGCGGGGGGACTTGGGGCGCTCGTGCCCTCTGGCGGCCGTGTCGTGCCTCAGCCCTCTCCGCGTCCGCGTCCTGCCGGTGCTCAACAGGGTCTCCTGTTCGGCGGCGTGCACCTGGCGTCGGCCTGGCGCCAGCAGCCCTTGAGACGCTGGCGCGCGTGCTTCCCGTGAACCCGGCAAGGCCTGGCTGGGGAGTGGCAGTGGAAGTCGGGAAGGCCGGGCGACCGCAGAGGCGGCTCTCTTTTCACTCCTAGTCTCTTTTTCTCCGTCTGCCCCTCTTCTGTCTCTCTGCCCTTCACGCCCAGGCTCCAGACCATCCTAGAAAACTCGAGAAGTGGTCAGCACCTGGCTGTCAGGCGATGGCGAGGTCAGAGAAGTTGTCCACAGCTAGTAACACGATCAGAAAGATAATACGCACGACAAAAAGGGGATGAGAGCCTACCTGCTGTGGAAAGAAGCTGCCTTCAGTTCACCTCATTCTCGCGCTCTCTTTTTTTTACCTTGGTTTCTCTCTTAAGCATTCCTGTCAGTCACCATTTCCTGAGGGCAGTGGGGACAATGGCAGATCAATGGGCTGCTGCATACCATTAATCTTTCATTGGAAGGGGGACCCGCAAAAAAAGCCAGAAGTCACTCTGCTTCTGTCTAGATCCTCTCCTCTCCCTCCCTGCCCCAGAATTTACTCACTTAATTCCTACCTGTATTCTTGAGAGCATCAGCATTCTCAGAGAAACAAAGGAATGTCCTAGTCGATTTATTTCTTAAACGTTCTTAGAAGAGATTCAGTAACCCACTTACTATTAAAAAATTTAAAAATCATTTCCAGCTTTATTAATTACATACATATAAGTTGAAGGTGTCTAATGTGATGGATGGTTAGATACATGTACATCTACCTCCTATTTAGGGGAGAGTGGGTTTCTATATGTCTAACTATTTTTCCAAGGTAGTTAAGATATTTTTATAATTTCTTTTTCTTCAATTAAAGCAATCCATTAAGTTCATAGTTACACATGGCTTGCTTTTTATGCCTCTAGTATTTTAACATAAATTATCTATAACCATACCAGGAGGAGTTATTAAACTTAAAACTCAAACCCATAGAGTAATAATGATTATATGCAAATTATTATATAATTAAATTAAGCATAACCACATATTATCAATGATGTACAGAGAAAATTTTGTTACTAATTTCTGATTCTGTGGAATTGATGAAAACCCTTAGGCAATGTGTCTGGTGTGGAGATTCTTCCATCATTTGTTCTGTTCACCTGCTATGTCTCTTGCAATGTTCTTGCTCCTTGCTACGCTCTGACATGCTGTTACTTCGTTGTTTCAGATTTCTTATCACTGATTGCAGAGCAATCTCGGTATTTGTGGCAGTTTTTAACATCTTAAATAAATCTTCATTAACTTTTTGCGAAAATGTTCTGCAAATGTGCTTGCTATTAGCTGCTAATTCTATTAGGGGCTAATTGCCAAGGTATGGCTTTTTTGTTTTTGCCCCTCTGCTCACTGCCTTTTTCTAATTTAGATGCTCTCGTATAATTCATTCTGCCAGTGCTGGACTGACGGGCTAAAGGTTTCATACTTTGTCTTTTTTGTAAACTCTTTGATTGGTCCGTTCTCCCTGTTTTTCCTTAACAGAACCCTAATTTAGTTCAAGTACTTAGCTGCCTCACACACCTATTTGCCCAGGGGCAGCCAGGTTGGGTGGAACCTATCTGAGGAAGTCCTTTTCTCCTGGTCAGTGACTGATTCGGAATGGGTGTGTGACTCTGGACAATGAGACATGAATGAAAATCTGAGGAACTTCTGGGAAGTTTCCTTACTCTTCCTGAAAGTGCCTTACAAAAGAACACTCTAGCTTTTTATGCTGTGGGTGTTTCTGAATGTGACACCTATGACTGTTGGAACCATCTTGCAACTATCTGAAGATCAAGCATCACTTAGGATAGAGTAGTGAAATGCAAAGAATCTGGGTCTTTGATGATGGAATTGAGCCTCTGAACAAGCCAAATTGAAGTCTGAAGTACTTCTGGCCTGCCTGTTATATGAGAAAATAAATTTCTTTGCTCATTAAGCCAGTTTAAGTCAGAGATTCTGCTATGTGCAGAAAACCACTTTGGTTTTCTGTTGCTGTATAACACTTGCCTTAAAATTAGCAGCTTATGGGGCACCTGGGTGGCTCAGTCGGTTAAGCGGCTGCCTTTGGCTCAGGTCATGATCCCAAGGTGCTGGGATCGAGTCCCACATTGGGCTCCATGCTCGGCGGGGAGCCTGCTTCTCCCTCTCCCTCTGCCTGCCTGTCTGCCTACTTGTGATCTCTCTCTCTCTGTCAAATAAATAAATAAAATCTTAAAAAAAAAAATTTAGCAGCTTATAGCACCCTCTATTTATTATCACAGTTTCTCCAGATCAGAAGTCCAGCTTAGCTAGGTCCTCTGCTTAGGGTCTCACAAAGCTGAAGTGAGGGAGTTGTGAGGGCCATGTTCTCTTCTGGTGGCTTGACTAGGGAAGGATCTTCTTCCAAGCTTCCTTAGTTGTTGGCAGAATTCATTTCCTTGAGGCTGGAGGATTAATGGTAGATTGATTTTACTGCCAGCACCAGAGAGAGTCTAACCTCCAGACTCTTTTACAGGGCTCACCTGATTAGGTCAGGCCCACCCTGGAAAATACCACTTTTGATTAACTCAAAGTCAACTAATTAGGGACCAGGCATGTGGCTATGTATATAATGTGAGTTCTGTTATTTATTCAGCTTGCAGATAATATTTGGCCGTTTTATTGATTTCTAGGCCCCTGGGAATTACTCCATGCAGTAGCATGCTTAGCATATTTGACCCTTTGGGGGGGACCTCATGCCAAAGAGCTTGTGTTCTCTCTCTCTGAAATGTGGGCACACAGTGAAAAGGCTGACATCTGCAAGCCAGGAAGAAAAGACCTCACTATAAACAGACCATGATCTCAGACTCCCAGCCTCCAAAGCTGTGGGAAAATAAATTTCTGTTTCTCAAGCCACCCATGGTATTTTGTCAGCTGACTGAGACACTATCACTATGTTATCATTGTTTATGTCAAATCTGTTTAAATGTAGGGATACGGAGTACCACAGAGGCTGGAGACATGAAGGATGCCTGAAGTAGTCTGGAATGATTCTGGACCTTTGCAGACTTTCTAAATGAATGGGAATAGCTACTGAATCCGCTTGTGTCTGGGGGCAGTTGTACAACTGAGAGTGCTTTGAGTTAAATTCCATGCAGATTACAATGTTTATTAAAGGGCCAGTAATAAAAATGTCCAACTCGAAGCTTAAATAAATATTATTAAAACTCAAAAGTAACCATAGCAATTGTTTAAAACTTGGACTCATAGGATATTTTGTTTGGAGGAGTATTTGATCACTGGCATTGTTCAGAATTGCTGATGCATAGTGATAATAAAATGCTGACTGATTTCTAGCCCATTTAATTACTGTTTTTATATTCTCTATGGACAACACACATTTTTATTGCCCTGTACCTGGGGCTGACCCCTTCATCAACCTGTCCTTGGTACCCTGCTGACTCCACGATCTCTTAGGTGCTTGCTTCATAGGTTGGAAACCACTGGTCTAGCTTGGGAGACTAGGAAGATTTGGGGTTGACGTGATTTACACATATTAATTGGGAGGCACCAGCCAGATCCAGGTGAGATTGTCTAGTAGGCCTTTAAAAATGTGGATCTGGAGCTTGGGGATGGAGATAAAGATTCTGGAGAAGTCTGTGCATGTGGTAGAAAAATAAAAAATCAGGAGTGTGTTTCCCACATGCTTTTGGGATCAAATGTATTTCTATTTGTTTCAGAGGTGCTTTAAGGCAGGAGGGAATTCTGACAAACCATCTTGTCTGTTTTCAATTTAATGAAAAAATGATTATTGAGCAATCCCTATGTACCAGACACCATAGTAAATGCTGGGAATATATATATATATACACACACACATTCAGGGTGAGTTGGACACAGTCTCTGTTATGGTTGTGGAACTTCAATTCCAGCTTCTTCATTCCATCTTATTCTTGAGCCAGGATTGATATTGGACCATTTTTATGAAATCTCAATAAGCAAGAAGTTCATTTATTACTAAGCCAGATTCTTTTTGAGGGGAGCGAAGAGGCTGGACTTCTCCTTGGTAGGGTTAGCATAGATTTTATGCCTTCATTCTAGGTTTACCAAGGATGTCCTTGGGGGAATTAGAAATTAGGGGGAAAAAAATCACAGTTAAACTTCAACATTTTCAAAAATACACAAGGTAGATTTGAGATGAGAAAAAAAGTTTTTTTTTTTTTATTAAAGATTTTTATTTATTTGACACAGAGATAGAGAGAGAGAGAGATAGCTAGAGCAGGAACACAAGCAGGGGGAGTGGGAGAGGGAGAAGCAGGCTTCTTGCTGAGGCTTGATCTCAGGACCCTGGGACCATGACCTGAGCTGAAGGCAGACGCTTAACGACTGAGCCACCCACGTGCCCTGAGGAAAAAAGTTTTAAAAGAGGAGTTTACTGCTTAAGGACATATGTGAGCAAGGAAGGAGGGGGCAATTCCTTCTCTGTGGCCCTCAGTGTACCATAATGCTGAATGTAGCTATGTTTAATAAATGTTTTCTGGTGCTTGAGAGTCTCATTTACAAAACAAAAGACAAAAACAACCCCCCAACACAAACAAACAAACAAAAAAACAATAGCTGATGTAGATCTCAGATGTCCCCTGTTCCTTTGTGAGTTCCTCAAGTCCAGGGGCATGGAATAATGGCTATTAATCACAGTACCCGAGTCACTGCTCTGAGATCTGCATTCTCAGTGTTCTTTATAGAATACTAGGGCACTAAATAAAAGAATGTCTTTGGTATTTATGAAGACACCACTCCTGTCTGAATTATTTCTTCCAGCTTTGGTATTAGATTTGCACTAATCCTTCCTGGGAATAATGGTATGAATTTGAGTTGTCAGAGTGAGGTCAGTACAGAATAAAGTAAACAGCCTTGAATTTGGCACCACAAC